AGCCCTGGAGCAACGGGGCCCGGGGCCTAGCGGCAGACCGCGGGCGCCCATGGCGCAGACGCCGCGCAGCAGACGGGACATTACGGCGGCGGCGAGCGCAGGGCAGCTTCCCGGAGCCTCACCAGCCGCTGCCTCCTGTCGCGACTGAGAAGCGCACGCCCCTAACACACCCCTCTTGCGTTCAGCGGGGAGAGAGGGAGGGAGGGAGGGCTGAAGCGGTGGCTCTTGGGAAATGGAGTTCTGGCGGAAGCCCTACGCCTCGGCGAGGGGGAGGCATTCAGACTACAAATCCCAGCAGCGCACGAAGGGAGGGTGAAAAATAGGGTGCGTAGAAGCAGGGGATAGGTTAAGTTACTCAATAGTCCAGGTACTGTATGAGTTTGCAGCACGTAGGACAAGAATTGAGGGAGAAAGTGGGAGGCTGCTGTTCCACCCCCGTTCGTATGGAGAGAAAGCCTCTTTGCATTCAGCTACGTTGTAATTTGTAGTAAGCGTCTTGCACGCATTGGAATGGAAGAACCCCGTCTTTAAAATACTGTATTTGGATTTCCTTTCCACCCGGAATTATGCAATTACTGTTTCAGTTGTGTGATATGTGGGTTGGCTCACTTTTATGAGGTGAAAAAGATAACTGCAGCTGACATTACTGATTGTTACATGCCCGAACAGGAGACATAAGAAAGAAAAAGTGTATTACAGTGACGTGGAAATCACAGCGCACAAGCCTATATATAGGTTTATGCAGAAGTAGAACTGTAGTTAATTCTTGCAAGCATTCCGAAGAAACTGACTATATCCCAGTGAGCTAAGTTGCTCTGATGAAAGTATTGATTATTGATACAGACTTCTTTCTCTTTTAAAAGTACTTTATAAATTCAGAAAGTCATTACAATACCACAAAGACCCTGTAGAGTAAGTCTTGGGTTAATAGCTGCTGCACCCTCATTCATATACTGTATAAGGCAATGGATTCTAAACGTCAATTACAATAAATTAGTACTTGCAAATGTGCCAGACTTTGCATATATTAGAACAACTCTTATATTGTTATGTAGAAAAGTTAGTCTGTGATATCTGCAAAGCTCTCCCACAGCCCACCATTTCAAATGAAACAGTGCTAATATAAATGCAACAAAGAAATAAAAAAAATTCTGAGATTTGGGGGGGGACTGTGAAAGGAGCTAGGGAGAAAAATCTTTGACTGCAAAGATGAATCACAGACCAATGCAAAGTTCATCTACATCATGGTATTCCTGATTACGATGTACAAATGTGAAAGCTGGACAGTGGCGAAAGCTGTCAGGAAAAAGTCTTGATTCATCTGAAATGTGGTGTTGGAGGAGAGATTTGCAGGTCCCATGGACCACCAGAAAGACAAATAAATGGGTTTTAGATCAAATAAAGCCAGAATTCTCCCTTGAAGCAAAAATTAAAAAATTGAGGCTAAGATCAAATAAAGCCAGAATTCTCCCTAGAAGCAAAAATTATAAAACTGAGGCTGTCATACTTAAGGTGCATCACGAGAAGACAAGACTCACTGGAAAAGACAGTAATGTTGGGAAAAGGCTAATACAACAGGAAAAGAAGAACAGCATTGTGAAGAGGAACCAGTTAAAACGGTTAAACCTGGAGGTGAGCTGTCCCCTCAATCGTCTTGGGCAGAAGGAATCGACACCATGTTGTGCACTTTATCTGCGATGGTTCATGACCTGACACTAGGGGGAAGTCAGGAGACAGGAAGGGTAGAGGGGAAAAGGTGGGAACAGGACAGCCAGTAACGGAAGACGTTTTGAGGATGAGGTTAGAAGGAAAGAGAGGAGAAGGAAGGGTAGAGGGGAAAAGGTGGGAACAGGTCAGCCAGTAACAAAGACTTTTTGATGATGGGGTTAGAAGGAAAGAGGGGTTCAGAGGAGTGGATCATTCCAGGAGAAGAGAAGGAAGAGAGTAGCTGGGAACAAGAAAGACAGGGGGAACCTTATGTGTTCTCGGTTTCTAAAAGAGAAGAAGGAGAGAGAGAGAGAGAGAGAGAGAGGCAGACACATGCAGATGCGGAATAGCAGGCATAGAGGTCCAGCTGGGAGAATTGGATCCACTAGAATGGACAGTAAAGGTCTACCTGAGGGGGAAAGGTCCCTGGAAGAGGGAGGTACGACCAGAACCTATCCCTACTGGGGAGACATCTGGTGAGGGAAATTGGGCACGCCACCCATGTTGCGGGACAATTTAACGTCGTAAGGAGCAACTCCCTGAGAAAACCAACAGATCGGGAGAGGTTTGGGACGTCGCCGCGCTGGAGGACAATGTAATGTGGACAGGACTGCCTATGATGTGGACTGGATCACCTATGTTTGATGGTCCTGTTGGACCTACTGAAATTGTAATACACCCCTCCCCTCTTAAAGAAATTAAATGTTCAGTTAATGGTATTTCATCTCCTGTGGTTAATCACATAAAAGAAGAGGAACTGCTTGATTTAGAATAAGAACCTAATCACAAGTATATAAAAGATGGATTGACTTCCTAAAGGAAGTCACATCCTTGAATTTACAAGAGCTGAGCAGTGTTGTTGACAATAGATCTTGTCCATTACTGACAGCCCTGTAACTCTGCTGAAAGCGAGCTAGTGTTACACCATTTTCCTTCTGCCTGCATAGCTATGGAACAGGATTTCAGCCTGGGGAAGGGCAACTGCAACTCATACAATAGCACCCAAGTAACTTGCTGAATGATAAAGAAACTACCCATCACAGGCGACTATCAAGGCATATTTATCTCTTACATTTCAAATATTTGTATCTTACATTTCAGAATGTAAAACTTCTAAGATGTTTAAAACTAACTTTGGTATTCATTAATAGAACATAACAAGCATCCTTATGCCACCAAGTAAAGTTTTCTGAGTAACTTCTATAACATTAACATATCAAAACTCTGAAATAATAAAAGGAAAATCTAAGATACAGAAGAAAATCAACAGCAAAGAATAAAACAAATGCAAGAAGATCCTCACAAAGTGAATTCCCAGATGAATCTTTCTGGGAAAAGCATTCTAGAGTTGGGAGCCACTGTTGAAAATGCCCTCTTCATAGCAGTGGCTGGCTGGGCCATATAAGACATCAAGCTCCTTTCCCCTAGTCATCTGGAGGTAGATATCCAGAAGGGTGGGGAGGAGATTGTCTAGCTGGAGCAGGTGTTTGGTATTATCCTCTCACACTCACTTCTTTTCCTGGAATCCTTCCCACAGGGCAGATGGTGGCAGATGATTCTAGGAGGAAAGGAGACATCATGTAACATACTGCAATAGTGCAGACAGGATACATTTATTAATGCCAGGGAAAGGATACTTTTATGTAGAACGTGTAGGCATGTGTGGCCTTTCAGATGCCACTGAATGGCGACTCCCATCATCTTTATGATTTACTATGTTGGAGAGGGCTGATAGGAGTTGTAGTTCAACAGCATATAAAAGGCCACATATTGCTTAGCTCCGGTGTAGATTAAAGATAAAAACATCAGTTGACTATGTGGGTAGGCCCAAGGTTGGTTTGTTTTAAATTTATTATTCCTCTTACGTTCAGGGCTAAATTTATAGTTTAACCTTATTGTAGCCTTATTTCTAAGGCACCACAATGAGTTTATGTAGGATGTACCAACTGCAGTTGCCTTCAACTAGTACATGGACTTCCTGGCGTGAAGGCAGTT